AAAAAAAAAAGACGGACTACAAACAAATATTGTTGAATGGTGATGCCTGGAGGGGATTGTAATCATTGCAAAGATATGAAACATGATAGGATGAGTGCAAAACATGTTCTCCCATGTACACTATTACTCAATGCACAATAAAAACTTTAAAAAAAGATGGAGACCGCCTAAATGCCCATCAACAGTAAAATGGTTAAACAAACTTTGGTACATACACACAATGAAATACTACAAAACACTGGTAAATAATGATGAATCTGTGAAACACCCTACAACATGGTTGAACCTGGAGGACAGTATGCTGAGTGAAATTAGCCAATCACAAAAGGACAAACATTATAAGAGATACATGTTGTAAAAAGTTTTAAAAAGGTTTTCTTGATAAAAAGAAATTATCTATGATAGTTTCAGGGGGTGGGGAGTAATTATTCATGGGCTAGAGGATAGATGGGCTGCAAACCTCAAAGTCAGCAGTTCGAAACTACCAGCTGTTCTTCGGGAGAATGATGAGGCTTTCTGCTCCCAAAAAGATTTCCAGCATCAAAAATCCTATACAGGGTTGCTATGAGTTGGAACCGACTCCACAGCACATAACCACCAAGAGGCTAGGCACACGTAAACATGGGTGACAGGGCAGGCAATATACAAGAGGGAGGTTGGCAGAGGAAAGATGAAGGTAGCAGTAGACACAGGGAGGAATTCAATAGCTAAAGTGAATAGAGGTAAATGCTATTAACAGTTGGTACATGGAGAAAACTACCACCTTAAGAGTGTAACAGAGTGCATTGTTTGTTGAATGCAAAACTGATGATCTGCTCTGTAAATCTTCACTCAATTCATGATAAAGTTCAAAAAAAAGGATGATGCTCTGCCTTCTGGCTCAATACAAGATGGTACCACTAACTGAAAACAAGAATGCAGGAGGAGGTACCATTGGAATGGGAGTGGTAAAAGAAATTGGTAAGGTCAGTATCAGCAAAGATAAGTTTGAGGGGCCTAGGAGACAGCTAAGTAAAGCAGGCAATTAGGTAAGTAGCAGGACATCCGGACTGGGAATATTCAGAAGTCATCCACATATAAACAGTAATTAAAATCCTGCTGATGTTGTTAAGTGCTGTTGAATCGGTTCTGACCCATAGAGATCCTGCATAGGGTTTCCTAGGCTATAAATATTTTAAAGAGCAGAAAGCTTTACCTTTATCCCAAGGAGCAGCTGGTGGGCTCAAACCACCAACCTTGTAGTTTGCAGTCCAGAGCTTATCCTCCAGAGCCACAACACTCTCTAGTTTAAGGCATGTTGTGCCAAGTGCCACTGAGTGTACTCTGACTCATAGCAATGCTGTATGGGGTTTTCCATGGAACAGCTGGTAGTTTTGAACTGCTGACGATGTGGTCAGCAATCCAGTGCTTATACTAGAGAAGTTATAACTGAAGCCAAGCAGAATATCAGTGGAAGAAAATAGGCGGTAAAGTCAGGTAGGAGATAAGAATTAAGTAGAGGTGGTGTGGCAGAAAGAAGTCATAAACATTGTCAAATAACAGAGTTCAAGATAATGTTTAAAGAATGTTCACCTGATTTATTCACTGAAAGGCTCTGATAACTTTAATAAAAGCCTTTTAATGTAGTATAAACAGAATCAGATTGTAAAGCATTAAGGAAAAACTGAAAAATGTGAATTGGAAACATGCAGTGCCTGCTCCTTTTAGAAGTTTAGCTGTGAATGGAAGAACAAAATACTGAAAAAATAAAAAGGGAAACCATGAAGACAGGCTTAACTGGTTTTCTTGTTAATGATATCTAGTACTTTCACAAAGAAACCTGATGAATCATAGTGTCTGAAAAATGATGAGAGGATATCTAATAGATTTCAAAAGAGACAAACAGGAATGGGATGTAAAGTTAATGCTGAATTTACAGTTACATGGGTAAGAGATCATTTAAACTTTTCCCATGTGCATTTGTACATAACCCTGGAAGCATAGTGGTTACACGTTGGGCTGCTAACCACAGGATCCCAGTTCAAATCTACCAGCTGCTCTGCAGGAAAGAGATGAAGCTTTCTGCTACTGTAAATATTTACTGGCTTAGAAATCCTATACAGGGTCACTACGACAGCACACCACACCACTACCACCACCCCATGGAAATGGAAATTAGTGCAATCACCATGGTAGTCACTTGGCACCACCTAGCAAAATGTTAAATGTGTATAACATTTGAAACAACAATTCTATACCCAGGAACATATCCTAGACATACTTCTTTGAGTGCAAAGCAACATATGCACAAGATTATTAATTGAACCACTGTTTGAACTAGTTTTTGTCTGTAAAAGAGGAACAAATAAAAACCTTCAACCACTAAGTCAATTCTGACTCAAAGCAATCCAAAGGACAGAGTACAATTGAATTTGCATAAAAGAAATTCTGGAATATTAGGAATTTTAAAAAATTGGTTACCTGCTTGTAGAAGGGATTCAAAGTGGCCAGATGGTAAGCAAGAATGAGAATGGACAATTTAAGTGTTTGTATTTTCTGGCTTATAAACCTTGAGGAAGACCTACACCACGATGGATTGACATAGCATCAGTAACAACGGACTAAAACTTAACTGCGCAGGACTGGGCGGTGCTTGTTTTGTTGTGCATAGGATTATTATGAATCAGAACCGACTCGAAGGCACCTAACAAGTCATGAGACTACACTACATACTCAAACACTTTAGGGTCACTAAGAATTGGAAACAACTCAATGGCAGTAGTTACAGTTTTTAAAAAACTAAAAGAAACTTAAAAGCTTTTTTCGGGGTTAAGAATAAACGAGAACATCAAGATACTAGTAAACTTCTAGACACAAAATATGAATGAGGAAGAGTCATTACAGCGGAGTTTGAAGCTTTGCTTCTATTTTCTTCATCAAGTAGCTGAGAGAGTAACAAGAAAAGGGGTTGCCACAGAATCGAGAGCTGGAAAAGGATGAAGTTTCCAATAGCAGTCGTGGGTAACCGGAAAGGAAGTTTAAAAAATACAACATGAAAATACCTTAGATAGGATTTTAAAATCTTTGCATGAATAGAACAAGGACACATTAGATCTGTTCATAGACTATAAACCATGTGAGAACGATGTCATCTCGTGAGAAGAATAAGGTGAAAAGCCATCTTTTAAGACAATTTAGACTTAAAATCGCATGAGAAATGCCCAACTAGATCAAACCCTTGCCCCACAACTGTCCCGTGTATCTGATCCCCCTCCCCCGTGTATTCCCATGGCTGTGGGTTAATGCACTGGATTGCAAAGTCTCTTTGAACCGCAAAGTCGGCGGTTCAGGCTCACCAGCTGCTCCTCGGAAACCCTACTGAGGGTCGCTATGGGTCGGAACTGACTCGATGGCACTTAACAACAAACGATGCTTGACACACAGAGTGATGGTCGTAGACTGAACTAGTCGATAACCAGACTAACTGTGGCACTAAGGGAAATCAAGAAGGGAATCCTTTACTTCAAATCAAGTCAAAACTACGTATTTGTCTTACGGCTCTGTACGTTTTGGCAATACGGGAGGTAAATGAAACAATCAACAGGCTGGGTAATAGAGAGGGGAATGATAACAAGAGTCACTTGGCGGGCAACACGGTCCTTGACCCTCTACTTCTCGCCATCTCGGCTTCGTTCCTGGCCTGTAGGCTGAGAAGGCCACGACAGGGGGCAATCGTGCGGCGGGCGGAGGTCGGTCACAAATCCCCAATCCGTCCAGCTCCTCAAGTTTCCCTCACTAACTGGGCAGCTGCGGAGTAAGATTGGAGTGGTCACTTACCCTCGTCTGCGTCATACATATTGGCAAAATGTTACGGAGCTCTTTAAGTATTGAAAGTACAGAGAAGAAAAGACTCGCTGCAGCCACCAGCAGCCAGTGACGAGTCAATTTCCGTCTCCGGTGTTCCCAGAATACAGTGCGGCTTACACCAAAGACCACCCACAAAGAAGCCAATATTTGAACTGCGCTTGCGCAAGTGGCAGGTCGTGTGGCCAAGAGTTAGATTTGCGCATTCGCGGGTCGTGAAACGACACCCCTGATTTGGTTGGATGTTTAGTACTGCTCCTACGGTGTGAGAGGGTGGCTTGCAGGTCAAATTCAGCCAGTGCTAGTTTTGAATATGTGTATTTTTGGTGTTGCAAAATAATGATTCTTGAAAAGCCTAGACTATGTATTAATTATTTTTAAGTTTAAAGGTTTATTTGAGGTCTGAGTACGAGATACTAGATGCTTTATTTTTACACACGCAAGTTTAAAAAAAGTGTTTTATTAACAGCAGGGTGTGTTAGCGGTAGTGCGTTGAAGGTGCTTGCAAGTGAACAATTGCAAAGCACACCCTATCCATTCTCCCGCGCGGACTATGTATTTAAGTCCCAAAACCCTGGGCCGAAGTTGTAAACGAGTTCTCAGGTCTCAAAGCCTTTCAATCGCGAGAACTCTCGGGATTAGAAGCGGGAGGAGGAGCCATAATGACTGCACCCCCGGCTTTCGACTCGTAGGTGTCCCTCGCCTCGGTCCTGAGTGCGCCTGTGCAGACGTGGCTCCGCCTCTTTGCCCCGGAGTCACGTTCTCATGCTGCCATCCAGCTTAATCCGAGAGTTGTTACTGAAATTTTTGCGGGTATCAACTCCCGTGGTAGCGCGCCATGGCTTCCAACCGCTGCTCCAGAGGGTTTGCGCGACCGCCTCCTCTTTCCAGCACCCCTCATGCCTGGGACATGGATTCCCTCATGACTCGACAGAGACTGGCGGCTACGGAGGAAGAGCTGACATGGAGGAGCGTTTTCTGTTTCCCGAGTACGTCCCGGAGTCGGAGCTGGAGCCCGCGCCGACCCTTGGACAGCAGCTGCAGCAGCGACTGGAGGAGGAGACGCGACACAGGCAGCAGAGGCGGGAGGAGCGACGGCAGCAAAGGTTGTGGACCAGCTGCGGGTTGCAAGCGGTTTGGGGGCACCGGGACCCGGCGTTGCCGCCCAGCGGCGTGAACTGCTCTGGCTGCGGGGCCGAGCTGCACTGCCAGGACCCCGGCGTGCCGGGCTACCTGCCCAGCGAGAAGTTTATCCGCGCCCAGGCTCAGGTCGATGGCGGTCTGGCACGAACCGTGTGCCAGCGCTGCTGGCTGCTGGTGCATCACCGGCAAGCGCTGCGCGTGCAGGTGAGCCGCAAGCAGTTCCTAGAGCTGGTGAGCGCCGCGCTGCGGCGGCCGGGGCCCGCTCTGGTGCTGTACCTAGTGGACTTGCTCGACCTGCCCGACGCCCTGCTGGCCGACCTGCCGTCGCTGGTGGGTCCCAGACAACTTATTGTGCTGGGGAATAAGGTGGATCTGCTGCCCCAGGATTCTCCCGACTACCGGAGACGGCTCCGGGAGCGGCTGTGGAACGACTGTGCACGCGCTGGGCTCCTGCCACCTCGGCACAGAGGACCACTGGATCCCAGCAGAGCTGGGGACGGGGAGGAGACTCCGAACAAGGCGCCCGGACCCTGCCCAGTTCTTCGGGACGTGCGGCTGATAAGCGCCAAGACCGGATACGGGATCGAAGAGTTGATCTCCGCGCTTCAGCGCTCCTGGCGCTACCGAGGTGACGTCTACCTAGTGGGCGCCACCAACGCCGGCAAGTCCACGCTCTTCAACACACTCCTGCAATCTGACTACTGCATCGCCAAGGGCGCCGAAGCCATTGACAAGGCCACCATCTCCCCATGGCCAGGTGAGCCTTTGGAGGCTCGCCCCTTGGATTTCTGAGAAGTTGAACGTTTGGTGTAAGGTACCAGACACCTGTAATGTTCACCAGAGTGTGCCTGGAGCTTCCCCCTTTAAATTCCCTCTCAACTGTGGTCGCAGTTCAGCTTGTTGTTAAGTTCCATCGAGTCGATTCCGACCCATAGCGACCCTGTATAGATAGGGTTTCCGAGGAGCCGCTGGTGAGCCTGAACCCACAGAGCATTAAGCCACAGGGCCACACAATTTAGCATGGAGAGTCCATATTGTTGTAAAGTGTTGTTTTGTAGGGTCCGACTCATAGCTACACATGTATAGATTTTCCGAGGAGTAACTGGTGGATTTGAACTGCCAGACTTACTGTTAGCAGTCCAGTGCTTACCCTGCAGCACCACACCAGGACTCCAGTATGTGTTCTATTAATTCTCTGATAGAAATATTTATGGAACATTTCTCAGTCCCAGTCACTGGAAATACACCAGGAAACAAACCAAAGTTCTGTGTTGGAGGTTTTAACTTCTCTGGAAGTCATGCTTCGTTTTACTCTGTGAACCTCCACCCTCCAGTCCTCCTCACATCCTGAGTTATACATAGACCAGTGTGTTACTAAGGAGCTCTCGGTTGCTGTAGGATAACCACTGGACTGCTCACCACAGGAATGGCAGTTCAAACCCACCAGCCGCTGTATGAGAAAAGATACAAGACTCTGTTCTGGTAGAGATAAACAGTCTTGGAAACCTTATATAGGGTTGCTGAGTTTGAAAAATACACTAATGTGATGTGTAACATAATGACTGGAAGAAGAAATGTTGCTTTTTGTGGCTTTAAAAAAATTCCTTTTATCGAAAATAAGCCTTTCTATAACCTTATTGGAGCCCTGGTGTGACGCTGTAGGATAAGCACATACCGTAAGGTGGGTTTGAATCTCAAGGTTGGTGGTTCAAACACGGTAGCTATGAGTCCCAATCAACTGAAAGGCACTTAACAACATAAACTTGTTAGTACTTAATACTTGGCAGTAGGGTGGCTATGATTTATAATCAACTGGGAAACAACAGGTTTGGGGTTATTTGGGTTTAATCATTTTTGAGTACAAGTAACTCAGTTGTTCCTTTGAAACCAGAGTTTAATTTTTAATTGGTAAACTTTTTCTTTCTCTGATGAACTTTAGTTAAATTGTACAGGAAAGTATTTTTATGCATGGAGAAAATGAAAAGAAAGCAGATCTGCAGGTTTGGGGTTCAAATCCTGAGCCTGTTTCTTCATCTGAAATATGGGAATATTTTTATAGAAGACAGTTATGAAAGTTGAATGAGATAAATCACAGTACCCAACACTGCAGATCCTCAAAAACAGTCATTCCACTTTTGATAGTGTTTATGAAAACATAGTTATTCTTTGGTATTTCAGGTACTACATTAAACCTTCTGAAGTTTCCTATTTGCAACCCAACTCCTTATAGAATGTTTGAAAGACAAAAGAGACTTAAAAAAGATGTAACAAAAACTGAAGAAGAGCTTACGAAGCAAGAACAAAATCAACTTAATATCTTGAAAAAGCATGGTTATGTAGTAGGTAAGCATCTTTCATAAGAAAACTGATGTTTCTTTGTTGAGCAATCTGAACTACAATTGCCTAGTTTTTGTGGAGAACTTAAAGGCCTTTCTGAGGTGAATCTCCTGTTTGGAAACCTAGACGTCAGCATGCTAGGAGTACTGAGACCATAGTTACTTGGAGTCCAGCAAAGCAAGCATGTAGTATGTAGTTGCCCACATAGCCATTGTCCATGGTAGAAACATTTCCCCCAAGATACAACTTCATCCGTGTAGACCAGTATAGGTGATGAAGTTGTTGGCTCCATGCAGCAGCTTTCAGTTAATCTGTTCTTGTTTTTGGTGTCACTTTCTAGCCTTTCTTTACTAAAAACAGCTTGATTTCAGATATCAACACCACTTCCAGCATTATACACAGCCTGTCACTTTTGGTCATTGCAACAGTCTGACTGCCTCTGCCTTGGGGAAAAAAAAAAAACAACACAAAGTAACATCATAGTCTCATTTCCATGTACTTTTACTTAATTAAGGAGCCCTGGTGGTGGATTAAGCGTTGAGTGGTGACCACAAGATGGACAGTTCAAATTCAACAGCAGCTTCTTGAGAAAAAATGAGGCTGTCTGCTCCCATAAAGATTTATAGTCTCAGAAACTCTATATAGGGTCACTGTGAATCTGAATTGACTCAGTGTCAGTGCGTTTGGTTTTTGGTGTGTAGTTAGTAATTTGTTTGAGGTAAATTACCTGTCTGGAGTTAAAAGCTGTAAGGGAATGATAATTCTGTCAATATGACTTATTCTAGGAAGAGTTGGAAGAACATTTCTGTATTCAAAAGAGCAGAAAGATAAAACTACCTTTGAGTTTGATGCTGATTCACTTGCATTTGACATGGAAAATGAACCTGTTATGGTTGTAGACAAATCCACCAAGCGGGTAGAATTGAGCCCGCAGGATGTAAAAGATGCTCACTGGTTTTATGACACCCCGGGAATTACGAAAGAAAATTGTGTAAGTATTTGTTTTTTTTAGAAACAATAATAGCCAGTTGCACAAGTACTGTCTTAATTGGCCAAAAACAGGAAAGGGCATATTTTCATTTTAGAGTCAGTTATGATGCATGCATAAAGATAGTTCAGGGATGACTCAAGTTCTGTATTCCATTTGTGAGCCAATACTGCTGACAGCCCACTTGTATTCCCATTATGATCATTGCTTAGTTAGGAAGATATTTACAGAATCCTACACTTTTGAGTTTGAAAAAAACAAAAACTTTTACTATAGCCCAACACATATTCCATGTTTGAATTACCTCTATAAATTATCCATCAAGAGATCAGTCCAACTTGAACTTAAGGAGTGACTCCTCATCAATTGAAGCAGTATCGTGTCACTTCCCAAGGTGATGAATTTGGTCTCTCACCTGCTCTGTGTTGAACAGTCTGCCTGTAACTTAATAACCATTGTTTCTCAAAGCTGTGTGGAACCAATGTAATGATTGTTTCCTTTGCCAGACCTTGAAATATTTTGCAGTGTACTGTCCTATCTCTTACTCCCTACCCTTTCCTTTCATTTGTTTATCTAATCAAACACTGAGTTTACTGTTCTGACTCATATCCCATAATGTCTTCATTTTTTACAGCTGTTCTGTGAGTGGGGCTCCAGACTTCATTATCTAGGTCTTTCTTCAGAATGCTTTCTTACTATGCTTTTCTTAAGTATCACACTGAGATTGACTATCTTATCTTGTATAATTAACCCCAGACAAGCGTAATTTAGAATCGGATTAGCCCCACCTGTCTTGCCCTATATATCTCTGAATCCAATTGCAGAATCTTGGGCAACTTTGATTTTATCTTGTATATTCAGTCTTCATCCTACTCTTCTGTGTATGCATTAAATCTCATAACTTTTTATTTGTTTGTTGTTTTTTTCTATTTATTTTGAATTATGTGAAGCTTTACAAAGAACATCATCAGTTGTACATTCTACAAATATACGCTTTGTTTCAGCTCAGTGATTATAATTCCCTCCATGCAACAAGTTCTCTCACTTTCTCCCTGTGGTTCCTATTTCCAGTCCACCTTCCTTCCTATCCATTCTCAACTTTGTCTTTAGGATAATGTTGCCCTTTTGATCTAGAGTGGTTGACTACTCCATGGTGAGTATACCTTACTAGTGTTGTCTCCCGATATAGCTATCTACTGCTTGGCTGAAATTTGAGCCACAAGAATGAGTTCCTTTCCAGACCTGAAGGATGATCAAGGGCCATAGTCTCAGGTTCTTCCAGTCTCTTTCTGACCATAAACCTGGTCTCTTTTAGAATTTTTAGTTTTGTTCCACATTTTCTCCCACTCTATCCAGGACCTGCTAATGTGATCCCTTTTAGAGCAGTTGGTAGTGATCGCCAGGTACCATCTAGTTCTTTAGGTCTCAGAATCATGGTGACTGATGTTCACCTATTCTACTGGTCCATTGAGCTAGTTGATTCCAAGCATCTTCAGTTTTCACCATTCTTCTTTCTTCTGCACATGGAGAAACCAATAACTGTACCTTAGGTGGCTGCTCATGAGCTTTTTTTTTTAAAGTTTTATTGTGAATTATGTGATAGTTTACATGGGAGAACATTAGTTTTACATACATTCATCCTATCGTATAGCGTCTCATTGCCATGGTTACAATCAGCCAACCAAAGAGTATACACTACAAGCCTGCCCCCCCATCACCAGCACACAGCCCCTCTCCCTCTCTGTGTCCAAAGTCCCCAACAGCTTCATCTCTCCACGTCATAGTCTCTGCCTCCATCTTAGGCATCACTGCTTCTCTGGGTAGGATCCCGCTCTCAGCTCTTCTCCGTTGATGGTCCCAGGGACCCCGGCTCCTACGCTGAAAAGTTAATCACTCCCCTCCTTTTGCTATAAAACGTCTACCTTTATATTTCTAATCCTCACAATCAGTCCTGATAACAATTATTCACTATTGTATCACAAGAGACCTATCCACATTTCATTTCGTCAGCCCCGCCTAGACAGATTGGATACTACTCAGTGGAGATTCTACCTTCCTCCGCTGCTCATGAATTTTTAAGATCCCAGGTGCTACTTCCCAAATAGTATGTAGAACAATGTCTTTGTGGACTGTTTTATGCCAATTGAACATGGTATCCCCTTGAGATTATGGTCCTGAGCCCCCAGGCCCAGGAACTCATTACCTTAAGATGTTTGATAATAGCTGAGAAGTTTTCATCATTTTTTCACCTGTATACTCTACCACATTCATGGATGTAAATGCCCATTTACGGATATCCTCTTTCAAACCCATTTTCCCTCCCATACCCTCTCAGTCTATCTGCCCATGTATCTACCCAGAGAATATTGTTGTTCCAGGATTGTGTATATAACACTTGTTTACGCCTGAGCCCTCTCATTCTTCTGCCAACCTATTTCTTGTATATTGACCTCACCTATATAGTAGCTGGAGTCCTGGTGTGTCGCTGTGGGTTAATGTGCCAGACTGCAAAGCCATTTGAACTGCAAGGTTGCTGGTTCAAGCTCACCAGCTGTTCCTCAGAAACCCTATACAGGGTCGCTGTGGGTCAGAACTGACTCGACAGTACTTAACAACAACATATAGTAGCTTTATATATAGAAGACCCCCAACAAAATGAATTGGCCAAGTGTGGCAACAGTAGTGTGGTTGGCCCAGGATCAGGCAGTGTTTCATTCTGCTGTGCATAGGGTCGCTATGAGTCGGTACCAACTCAAAGGCACCTAACAACAACATATATAGCTAACATGTCTGTCCTCTAGTAAATTACTCTCCATTCCTTCCCACCTCTTGCAACCATCAAAGAATATTTCTTTTAGCATGAAACCTTAAATTTTTACAATATTGATAGCATACAATATTTGTCATTTTGTGAAACAACTAATTTTACTCAGCATAAAGTCCTCCAGGTCCATCCATTTTATGGGGTGTCTCACAGATTCATTGATACCTTTCAATGTTGCATAGTATTCCATTGTGTGTACCAAAATATGTTTAATCATTCTTCCTTTGATAGGCATGTAGTCTTTCTCCATCTTTTTCCTATTGTGAGTAGTTCTGCAGTGAACATCAGTATGTATCTATCTGCTTGTGTCATGGGTTTCTATCTGTGTCTTGTGGAATATACCAACTAGAGGAATTGCTCAGTTATACAATATTTATTTCCAACTTTCTGAGGATACGCCGTACCATTTTCCACAGTGAATGAGTCATTTTACAGTCCCAACAGCAATGTACAAGGGTCCCAGTGTCTCCCCACCCTTGCCAGCATTTTATTGTTTTCTGTGTGTTTTTTTTAACTTTTCTATTACTGCTGGAGTGAGGCGGTATTTCATTGTTGTTTCGGTTTGTATCTGTCTAATGTCTAACAATCACAAACGTTTCTTCACATGTTTGTTGGCTACCTGATTGCCTTTCTTGGGTAAGTGTTCATTTCTTCTGCCGATTTTTTAATTGGGTTGTTTGGTTTTTTTCTTGTAGAAGTGTAGTTTTCTATAAATTTTAGAAGTTAGTCCTTTGTCTAATAATGTCCTTGCAAAAAAGGTTTTTCCCAGCCTGTGGGTTCTCTTGACAAATTCTTTTGATGCACATAAGTATCTAATTTTAGGAGACCCCAGTCATCTATTTTGTCTTCTACTGTTAGTGTTTTTTTAGTAATGTTTGACTGTATGTATGCCATGTATTTGGGCCCTTAAGTTTGTCCCTGTTTCTTCATTGATCTTTGTAGTTCCACTTAATATGTTTTGTTTTTTCGTCAAAGATCAAATTACTGTATGTGAATGAATTTATTTCTGGGTTCTCAATTCTGTTCCATTGATTGTATATCTTTCATTGTACCAGTACCGGATTGATTTGACAACTATGGCTATGTAGTCAAATTTGAGATCAAGAAATGAGAGGCCTCCGGCATTGTTCTTCTTCTTAAGTAATGCTTTGCATGTCTGAGGTCTCTTTCCTTTCCATATACAGTTGTTGTTAGTGTCAGTCATTGAGTCAGTGCCGACTCATAGTGACCCTGTTTAGGATTTCTGAGGCTTTAGTGATATTTGCAGGAGCAGAAAGCTTCATCTTTCTTCCCAGGAGCAGCTGGCGAGTTGAAGTGATCAGTTTTTCCATCAATTTTAAAGAATGACGCTAGAATCTGATTGGGATTGCATTGTAATATAGATTGCTTTGGATAGTGTTGACATTTTTATAAAATTAAGTCTTCCTATCCACGAGCAGAATTTATTCTTCCATTTTTGTCTCGCGTCTCTTTTGTTAGTACTGTTTTGTAGTTGTCTTTGTTTTCTGTTTAGATTTATTCCTAAGTATTTCATCTTGTAGGTGTATTTTGTAAATGGTATTTCCTGATTTCCTTTTCAGAGCTCTCTTTATTAGTAATCCTGGTGTGGCACTGTAGGATAAGCATGAATCGCAGGGGCGGCAGTTCAGTCTCACCAGCTGCTCCTCAGAAACCTTACACAGGATCGTTACAAGTCAGAACCAATTCGATGGCACAAAACAACAACAGCTTCATTCGTGTAGAGGAATTGAACTGATTTTTGTATGTTGATACTGTACCCTGCAACTTTGCTAAATGTTTCAAGAGTTTCATTTTTCTTGCTGAGTCTTTGAGATGTTCTCTATATAGTATCATATCTGAAAATAGAGTTTTATTTACTCTTTGCCAATTTGGATGCCTTTAATTTCCTTTTCTTGCCATATACCCCTGGTTAAGCGACCCTGTATAAGGTTTCCAAGGAGCAGCTGGTGAGTTTGCACCACCAACCTTGTAGTTCAAACAGACCTTGCTGTCCAGTGCATTATCCTGAAGCGCCACATATATGCCCTTAATTATGTTGAGGAATTTCCCATACCTTCCTGTTTTGTAGAGTGTGTTTATTAGGAATGGATGTTGGAGCTTGTCACGTGCCTTTTCTGTATCAACATGATCATGCATGTCTTTTCTTTGTTTCATTCAT